GTACCATTTTGGTGGGTCCCAATAAAACGAATTATGGTATTTGGCGGGTCTACGTTGTCTTGTGAAAGCTCCCAAGTATCTGGCACACCTATTCGGCAGTCTACCATGCTAATCTGATTCTTTAGACCCCTATATGGCACAGAGTGTGAGCCACATGGGATTCCTGTCTAGATACTATCAGGCCTAAGAACTTACTTTAGGGCTTGGGTTAACAAGGTAGCACCAGGCTGTCTTGGACTTTGCAGGTTGCGACCAGACCAAGGGCAGTTCGGGATGCAGGCGGGCGGGCTCACAGTAACTAGAGCCGGAATCCAAACTTAGACAGAGAGACAGGAGAGAGACAGCAAGAGAGAGCGCGAGAGAGACAGAGACAGAGAGGGAGAGAGCGTGTGAAAGCCGTGTTTCACAGTTGGCCGTTAGCCTTCAACACTACATCCCATCACATAGCTTTAACCCAAGGTCCCAGAGCCTGCAGCATGACAATCTGTTAAACCTGAAATTAGGGTCTAGCGTCTAGCGCTTAAAGGGGTTTGGTTTTTAAGCCTTAGGATTTTGGGGTACAAGCAACCACTAACCTTGTTCCATCCCTCAACCCTGTACATCCCCATATCACCTGCCCAAAACTCCCTCAGGGTGTTTGCTTGCCTCCGGCTGCGACCATTGGATCGTGCCACCGAGCTCAGCAACATCCAGGTCCAAGTCCTACCACAAGAAGCGCTCAAACGTTTTGTAAGGCTTCGGGTAAATATTTGCGCGCGCAACAATCCTATGCTGTTGGTCCAAGAGACTGCTTGTTGTATACTTCTCCGAAGTCTGATGTATCTTCATCTCTTGACAGAGCCTACGTCCCTCCGCGAATTCTTACAATGGCTTTCAATTAGGCTGGTTGGGTTGCTCTAGCATCCCAGGTATAAGACGTTGCAGCCGGGCGCCAAGACACGAAGCCATGGGGTGAATACTGCTAGCTGCACTAGAAGAGTACGCCCCAATCCCCCGTCCCTCGTACAACATGGGTCAACCCAGACAGGAGATCCGATGGGCTGTTATGGGTTTAGGGTTTAGGGTTGATGTGCCCAGACTTAAGGGATGTCAGGATATGCGAGAATGGGAAGCAACCTTGCAACACCGGTTCCCCCAAATCCCACATATTTGCCTATATACCCCCACTACAACCCCTATTTCAAAACCTCCTATAGACTCCAATTTAGCCCCTCTCAAAGGGACTGTCATGGGAACCCCAAACAAGGAACCCCACGGATATAGTAGCAAGATAAAAGGAATATACCTACCAGGGTCCTCCTACATTCCTATTGTATTCCTACTGTTATCCTCTGGGGAGTCCCTGTTTGGCGTCCCCGTTGCAATCCTTTGATGGCATTCTTCTTTAAAGGCGCCCCTAATTTCTTGGAAGCTCCCACAAATGGACCTGGAAGGCAAGGTTTGTCACAGCCGCGGAGACCTGAGTCTACAAATCCGCAGGTGCATCAGAGTTTGGGGCTTATTGATTTAGGGCTTAGGATCTTTGTTACACCCCACGGCCTTTTACGTCTGTGCATAGGTCATGGGGCCTGGCAGGCAGATGGTTCAGTTGTCAGTTTGCACCCCTACACTCCGAACATTACGACGCACCATGAGGATCTTCACTGCTGCTTAGGAAAGTTGAAGGTTTGGGGTTTAGTCAGGCAATCGACTCCAAACCCCAACCAGGGAATAAACTAATATATTCACACTTGCTCTGATGCACGCGCTCGGCAGAATGCGGAGCGGCGCGCCGAAGGTCATGTAGTCTCGGTGACTAGGGGAGTCGAGCAAGGGCAGCTGTACTGGTCACTGCGCGATTGGCAGTGAATGCCCTGAGTGACTCTCTGGCACGACCCAGAAGGCTGATGTCGATGCCCATACAAAGCCCGTTGCACGGGAAGCTGACTCCAAGAGCAGTCAAATAAATGCCTTGAGCAAGAGGGGGCTCAATGCTTAAGATTCTGCACGAAGTTTGTACAGCGTCCTTCAATAGCCGCACTCGGACGGCCACAGTTGGTTGCTGAGGAGCGAAAGGCAGCTCGGCTGGCATGATCCGGGTGCCATCACTAGAGGCAACAGGGAAATCAAAACTATCCATATGCAAAAAAACAAAAACAAGTTCCAGCCAAGATACCTGAAAAACAGTGGTATGCATGCGATCCTGACTAAACAAGAAAGACATAACAGCCAACCCAAAAATTGCAGGATACTTCGAAGTCCCATCCATGAGCAGCTGACGCCAATTGAGAGGTGCCTCATCCTGCAGATCCCTGGTGCGCTCCACGGCGCTCGGTGGAACGGCCTCGGCATCATCTGCATCCTCGTCTTCGTTTGGTGTCGGTGCCGGAGACATGTCTGCGATGCCAAAGAAAATGTCTCGTAGAGCTCGGAGAGCGCTCTGGTGCTTGAGGTGCCAACGGAAAGCTGCTGAGTGGGCCGCTGCAAACTGAACTGAGCGATTGCGGTTGACAAGACCTGCCAGGATGTCCACTGCGCCATTCCATTGAGCGAGCCAGTCTTCGAAGGGCGAAGTCGTCAGGCTCCGGTCCAGGTGAGATGGCACATGCATCACTCGAATGCAGCCGTCGTCCAGCTGTTGCAGAAGTGACGCAATGACCGTCCAGAGGTCGCAATTTTCTTGAGGAGCCCAGTCATGGCCGCTGACAAGCAACTGCAGACCCTGAACAACCCACAAAGCATCAACCCACAGAACAAGGCAAACCCGAAAGGTCAAAGCCCAGCGAAGTGCAGAAACGACCCCAGAAAGCTCAGCTCTAGGAGTGGTTTGAAGGATGCCCGGGAGTGGCCCGCATGCAACAATCTGCCCACTACTGGCGTTGACACAAGCCCACGCTGCAAGGGCAAGATCCGAGGTCTCGCTGAAGAGGCAAGAGCCATCCGTAAAGACGTGCTGCCATTCGGCCGAAGCTGGGGCTGAAAGAAATTTGTGTGACAAGTCAGGCTGCTCGTGCAGGTATGCGCGCAAAGGCGGTGCATGCGGATTAGCTGGAGGCACTAAGTGGTGCATCAGGCACTGAGGAAGGTCGTCCCAGCACTCCAGTAACCATGGAACCGGGGCACGCAAATGCACGTACTTGGGGCAAAACCGTATGCGGTGCTCGACTGTATCGGGCAAGGAGCAGATGTGGCACATCCCGCTTTGACGGTTGTCATACTTGGAGTGGGCTGCCCCAAAAAGAAAAGCCCCAGCCCGGACCGAGCCAGGGCGAGCACTATTCAGCGGGCTGAGGCGGCTGGAGTCAAGGTCCAGAAGATCAAGGTCAACCCCCAGCAAGTCAGACATGACGCATCTGGGCGCTAACATGCCACAACCAGGCCTCCTCGAGGCGCCTATACAGCAATGCCTCAGGGCAGCTGAGGAGCTGATGAGACAGGCCCTCATGATCGCGCACCCATGGCGGGTCCAGTACGCTCCATTGCACCTGGGCCAGGACGGCCAGCAGCTTTGAGCACGGACCCTGGTACAGGTCACCCTGGAAATGCTGCATGAACACCCGCCACTGCAGCAGAAATGTTGGCGGCTTGCATGCCATCCTGCGGAAATCACGAACACAAACCCAAAGCTGATAAAATCCCGGGTCCGCAAGGCGGCTGGGCGCCACTGACAGGCGTAGAAGGGAAGAAGCCCCGGCAGGCCGAATGCGAAGCGCTCTGGTAGCGCAGGCACGTAGGCGCTGGAGCTGCTGCTCAGCAAGTGGGCATCCAGGGCAGCCATGAAGGGCGTGTGCCCAGCATTTTCCTGGCAAAACAGCAAGCTTGTATGCGAGAAGGGCCGTGCTGCGCCGCAGGCGGTCCCAGAGCGGTGCAAGACCCTCACATCGGGCCACGAGCTCAGCATTGTGGGTGGAGCGCTGAAAGGAAAGATAGCCGCCCAGTTCACGTGCGTGGGTGCAAACCCGCAAGTCCAAAGAGGCGAGAGCCTTTCTCCCGGGTGGCTGAGAGCTCCAAACAAAGGTCTTGGCGGGATCCAAAGACAGGTCAAGCATATCGCAAAAGCAGCCCGTGGGGTTTAGACTTTGCGCCACGCCGCCAACAGAGTCGGCTGCGCAAGCCAAGTTATCCACATAGCTCATTGAGCGGATTCCGGGGGCAAACGCATGCAGATAGGTATGCCAGCTCCACACCGCCAAAGCCATAGCCACTGGAGATAAAGGACATCCTTCTGGAAATCCATTTGTGGATGCGACCTCCGGGCTGACTTGCCCGCGGATAAGGAATCTGCGGGTCATGTTACCCAGAAAAGACTGCCATGGCCCAACCACACAGGAAGGTAGGCCCACATGTTGCGCCAGCCGGAGCAAAGGGCAACGGGGGAGCTGGTTGAATGCGCGAATCAAGTCTGTGCTCATGCCGTTGACTTCGTATTGGCCCAAAAACGAAAGTTCAAGCTGCACCTGAACACTAAACCAAAGCTGCACGCACTCACGGCGCGGCAGAAAGCCATAAGCCTCATGATCAATCAATTCCCCTAGGTAACGTAGGACTTGCTTGGCACGCAAGCTGGCCCATGCTCTGTATATTATGGAATACAGGACGATGGGACGGTACCCCTTAACACCAGTGAGGCCGTTGCGCTTCGACAGGAGACACACGAAACCCACCAGGAGCTGTGCAGGCCACTGCTCTGAACCACCCTCTATGGCGTTCAATAGTTGTAGGAGCTCCTGTAGTTGGTAGCTGGGCATGTTAATGAGGTCGGCAATGGCCCAGCTATCCGGGCCGCGGGCAGCTGACGACTTGAAGCGGCGCAAAACACGCCGCCATTGTTGCTCAGTGATGGGGTCGAGAGCAAGTGTGCCGGCCGGCAAAAAGGCTGTGGCAAAAGCCAGGAAGCGCTGCCAATGCTCAGGGGCGGTGTTGGCGTGCTTCAGCCAAGAATGAGACCAGAATGAAACAAATTCAGAATGTATCGAATTCACATCCGCAAGGGTCTGGACCTGACAAATGTCTTCTTCGGTGCTTAAGTCGAAACCCTGAGGCGGAACACAAACATCTCCCTCCAAAGACGAGGGTTCGAAAGCCACACCATTGACCGTCCAGGTTGAGCATCCTCTGGTATCCGGAGCCATGTCGAGATGCGCGGCCCGCGTTTCAGGGTCAACTGCCAGGACAGAGCGCACGTGCTGTAGAACCAGCACATCCACCTGTTCCGGGGCAGGGTCGCGAAGCTCTCGGAAAAGTGCACTTTTGGAGGCATCGTGTTTGCTCCTGAGGACCTTCGCCCTTTGTGCAACGTGCCATGCTTCCAGCTTCCGAAAATTGCATCTAAAATCAAGAAGGATGGCATCAACGGCTGCCGCAGTGGGCACTCCAGCATCAATGGAGGCAGGGCTGCCAAGGAGCTGCACGGGGCGTTGCCGCCACCACGTCTGGAAACCGCCTTTGAAACCTTTGGCGAAGGTGATTGCGCGCCAAAGCTGCACACGATGTTCGATGGCGGATGCAGCGTCAGACCCTGCACGCACCGAATGCGCGAGGCTTTGGATGCGACGTAGCTGGGCAAACCAACGCCGGATCTGCGCGCCTAACAAGTCGCAGCGCAGCACATCTTCGCCCTGTCGGCTAGGTCTAGGAGCGACAGTTGGCGAGGCAAGAGGCTGCGGGGCGAGGCGTTTGGAGCGTCCATAACACATGGTGGGAAGTTGCTTGCCTGGCACCCCGTGGACATAGCCATGCAGACTGCGCTCGTACACAGCCCCGATCTGTCGCATACGTGCGGTGGGGCAGGCAGCGGGCTGAGGAGAGGGTGTGGCAGAGGCTTGCCACGAACTAACACTAACGTCCTGCCAAGGAATGGCAGTGGGCAAAGGCCACTCAAATGAGGACACTTCGGCATCTCCCAGAGACAGAGTGACACGAACAGTGCTATGTTCTTGGAAAACATCAAACACATGCACGGCCCTGGCCAAGGCTGCGGCCTCTGGAGAGAGCCAAACAAAGTCCCGGACGGTGCTACCTTTGCAGGTAGGTTGGATGGGCTGGGCCCAGCGCTGAAAAGCGAGCTCCTGAGCTTCCACCCAGCCTAAGCTGCGCCAGACCGCTGTCTCTTCAAGAGAGTCGAGGGTGTGGTTCAGGTCGCCAGTAACCACTCGGATCCCGCGACAGCCTATCACAATCTCCTGAGTGACTGCAGCAAGCATTCGGTTGGTGCGTGCCAAAGAGTCCGGCCAGGTGGGACCCTGAGCGTAACCGTACAAGGTGACAACACTCACCACACGCGAGCCCAAGAAGTGTTGCGCAGCCATTATCCTGCCCGTGTCCAACAGACCTGGAGTCCATGGCAAACGCAGGGCCCGAGAAGGATAATCAGAGACCTGAAGAACGCCAACCCAGGAGCCGGCCCAATTGGAACCGGGACGCAGTGGAGCATGAGGCATTGCATGGACACGGAGCTTGCGGTGCTGCTGCCGGGCTAGCCTTTGCAGTGTGTTGCGCGTGGCAGGGAAAGACTGTGCTGACAACTGTGTCTCTGCAAAAGTTGCAACGCCCGGAGGCCAGTTGGCTGTATGTAGCTCCTTGCCTCGCAAACCAGAGGGATTACTAGTACTGATATGCAATTTGCCCGACGCGGGCGGGCCTGGGAGTCCCCACCTTTGGCCTCAATCTCCTGATGCACAATTGACTGGACCTCCTTCTTCAGCCCGTTTTCCATGGCTTGCCACTTGGTCTGAACGGCAGCCGGCATGGGAGTATCGGCCTTTGTAGCACTGCCAACTGTGGCCTGGGCAATGGACCAGGGGTCCTTCCCATGCAGCCACGGGTCTGCTGCAGGGTCGGATTCAGGATCGTCATATAGAATATGACGTTTAGTCCGAGCACTGGCAAACACGGGTGGGGGTGGCTTGGCACCTGAGGCCCTGCTAAGCTTCGTCACCAACACAAAGGCATCCTGAAGTGGCAACGCAAATTGCGGCGGGTCGTCAGCCGCACCAACAATCCAGCTGCAACCCACAGCGTCTCCTTTATCTGGCTGCATTGGCTTTGCAGCCCAAGCCCATTGGCGCAGCAGCTTCAGCACCGAGGCGCGCTGATACCCATGTGGCAGTGGGTGTAGCTTATATTTGTGCAGGATCCTAATTTTGATAAACTCCTGCCCTGGGCGCAACTTTTCGTACACGAAGCGCTCGTCGCTTTCTTCACTCTCAGACCATAGCGGCAATTGATCCTCGCCAAAGACACAGCTTTCTCGGTCGTTCTGAGAAGGTGCAAGGCCTGGCCGAGATCAATGTTGGGAACCCAGATCACAGCGCAGGCAGAGTGGGGTCCTGAGCCATCTGCCGCACGAGGCTCCACATACAAACCAGGTTTTTGCAACCGAACAAGATGGGTGACTGCGGAAGTGGGCACTCGAACGTACACTTGGAACAATTCGGCATCTGGAGCTGGGACTTTTCCACCTGCAGCTTTGCAGTAGCGTCGCCCCCACAGATCAACAATCAATTGATCCACAGTTTCATCAACTGCAGCGTGATACGCATGGCACTGGGTTTGGGGACAGGCTGGGTCCCTGCGCAACGCAAGCTCAGGTGTGTGCTGAAGCAGCGTGCGGATAGGGGCATCAACTATCTGCTGCCACTCGTGCCGCCATTCATCCTGAAAGATGCTCAGCCGGCACACTGCTGCGGCGACTGACTCGATCTCTGTGACCTCACCTTGGGCAATCTGAACCTCCTCGTCCCCCAACTGGAGAAGGGACCCTGTCACGAGGACGGCCTCGTTGGTAGGGCCGTACACAGCTGGAAACCGGAGGGAGGAAACGCGTGCTGACCCCTGCGAGTCAGGAGGTACTTCAGCAGTGATCAAAAGACCCAAGGCTCCCACACTCAGTGACTGAGCATCTGCAATGAACGGGGCAGCTTGCGCCGGGCTGCAAAAGCAAACACCCGTAGCCTGGGCACCTACCTCGGCGAAACTCAGCTGGGCGAGGGGTTCCCCCCCGGAGGAGATAAAACTCCCTACTGTAAGCTGGAGACACTCTGGGTCCACAAGCCGACTGCGAAGGCATGTGGCTCTTCCCTTTGCTCTTTTTACTTTTGGCATGCGGGACAGTGGCGCCAAATTTCTGCTCGGTGCGGAGAAGAATGTGTTGCTGGAGCTCCTCAGGTGTGACCCATCTGAAGCTAACGCCTGGGCGAGAAGCCGCAGCCTTGAGGGACTGCCAGGGTGTTTTGGCAAGGAGAGCTGCAGCAATGAAAGTGGCACCTACACGCTCTATTGAGGCCGTGACACGGGCCTCAAGCTGTTCGCTGGGCACTCCATGCTCTGTAAGCAGGGACTTCAGCTTGCCACGCTGCTCATCTGACAGGCCGCCGGTCCCATGAAACATGCCTGGCTCACTGTGCCTGGACACAAACTCTGACGCCCAGCCGCGGGATGCACTGCCTGGGCCAAAGAACAAAGTATGAACGTGGGCTAGAAGGCATGTCCCACATTCTGCTGGTGCGGTCTGGGTCCACCAGGAGCCGGTCTGAAGGGGCGAGATGGGAAGTGTGCCAAGCGCGTCACAACATCAGTGCAGCGGTCAGGAATGCCGTCCAAGTACAATGGCGTGAGTGTATGAGCATCACGTCGGAGCACCAAAAGGCACCAATGCCCATCATGCAGCAAAGGAACGACAAGCTGCACCTGCCGGGAAAGCTTGGCAAAATCGGCCAGGCGCTCACACTTTTCAGCAAAGGTAAAAAGGAATGCCGAAGGTAGCGGGGGCAGAATGACAAAGCGGTCCGTCGCGTGCATCTGCTGAAGCCTTAACAGACCCTTCCAAAGGGTGGCGTCAGAAGCACCTGTGGCCTGCAGGGACTCTGGACTGGCCTGTGGCTTGCTGTCAGGCAAAGTGGCCTCATGTGCTTGGGCAACAGGCCGGCGTGCTTGCTTCTTAAGACTGACCTCAATGTCGTAAATCATGCCGGCAGCGCCCTGCAGGAGGACATCCTCCGCAAGCCTGGAACCATGCACGAGGACCCTCACAATATACCCCGGCCCATGCAAGGCCTTTTCCGCAGAGATGAGGTCTTGCACTCGCGTGGCTTCAGTGGCGGGTATGCAGAAAATGACGCCTTCTTTACGCACTCGGACAGGCTCAGTGTGTGCCGCAGGAGGAGCAACAGACTCGGGCAAGTCGCGTGCCAAAAGGGTGCGCTGAAGCTGTGCAAGCAACACGGGGGGCGGGGAGGGCGGGGCAGTGTTGAAGGTAGCTGCTGCCCATGTGCGGATGTGCGACAGAACCCACATCGCCTGCATAGGCGCGGCCAGCTGGCCCACTAAGCAAAGCGCCGCTCTGAGATCCGGAAGGTGCAGGAAGCTAAGGGGAACCGAATTAAGGAGGGCCAACTCGGCGGGGTGAGGATGTCTAAGACCCTGAACATGCGCGGCCGGAACCCCAAAACCCCTAAGGCCGCGGGCACAGAGAGAGGCATGGCTGAACTGACGAGTTCGGCAGCCGCAAGGGCATGCAGACAACTGGCATCCAAAGCTATGCAGGGCTGTAGGAGCTTTGCCACACTTGTTGATGACACGCGGGTCTTTGCCATAGGAGGGATTGGAAAAGGCATCCTTTTCCTCAGGTGTCCAGATGAGCTGCATTTCTTCCTCCATGGTCCACTGCGGCCAATCCGGAAGCACGGCCTGCACAGGCCAACACAAAGAATCATCGTGCCAATTTGGAATGCACACTTCAGGCAGAGAGCTCGGCAAAAATATGCCCCACCAGCGAAAGCGCCGCGATGCCCACTGGTGGGCCAGTTCCAATTTAACACTTGTGAAGCGAAAACCAGCATGGGCGGCGAAAAGCCGGAAGACCTTCATAACCTCCTCGCACTCTGTGATGGAAGCAACACACTCCAGTACCACTCCATGCACCTGCATATGCCATGCAACTTGCAGCACGGGGTATACAGTCTGGCTGCGTGGGTCAGACAGGCCCAGCCCCAAACCTTGCGAAGAATACCCTTGACATGGTATACCTGCCGTAAGGAGGCAGCCCTGACCTGCGGCTTGCTTGTGGATGGCCAGCCTACAATCGCGATGGTGCAGATCACCCTCGACAACCCTCCCACCATTCAACCGCAGGGTGCTGCACGCGATCTTACTACGATCTGCCTGAACGATACTCTTGCCACCTGCAAAGCACATGCCCATGGAAATGCCCCCGATGCCTGCACAGACTTCGGTTATGCAGCGGTATGCCTCACTGTCACGTGGTGGCCTGAGAAAGGCGGAGGACTCCTGATCGGCAACCAGCTTTGGCGGAGAAACCTGCATGGACACGTGGTAGCCGTACAAAGTCCAAACCTCTCCTTCGTGAAGGTTACCTGCTGAAATGCAACAAGGTTCACCGTGCCACATGGTGCGTAGATAAGCGAGGTCACCGTCGACCCCTGTTACCTCAACAACCCAGTCCGAAGAAGAACCGGCAACTTCCGAAAGGAGACAATCTCCAACCATGGCGTTAGAACAATGCCTCGAGGGTCCGTTGCTAGCAGTGCTACCGAACTGGCAGGTCTCGGGCCCAGCACTGGAATAAGCTAATATAATCCCCGTTTAACCTCCACATTATGTATGCCCTAATTCCCTACTAATCCCCGGCAAGTTTAGCAAGTGAACACTCGAAGCGTGCTTACACTCACTGCAAGACCCACGCAGAACAACCTTCTGGTCCCAAGCCGCCCTAAACTAGGGTTTCGGATTTAGGGTTTAGGGTAGCAAAGCGGCATCTAGGATGACCGCCGCTGCAGGTGTCGTAGACTCGACCAGCGCCGACCTGTAGGCCACAAGGCGGTGTGCTATTTTCAGCGGGCCAAAATGTCGCCTCGATGCTGTGTTCCAAAGATGGTCTAGAGCTTAGGTTTTTAGAGTTTAGACTGCTCTACGCGAATCTGGCGGTGGCCTTGAATACACCAGGAAGTGCGTGAAGGCCAGCAGCGGCGTGTTGTCCTCAGCCGAGGTGGGTACAAAGTGCGCATCTGCAAGACTAAGATACCACCTTCCTACAGCGTCGACCTAGAAGAATAGCTCTTACGGATGGCTTACAACACAAGGTCCCGGACAGTTAAGCGAGTCATGCACAGCAAGAGATAGCAGTGAGATCACCAATCCGAGTAGAGTCGTCACGGGGTAATAACCTGAACTCCAAGAGTATGTAGAATAGTGTCTTTTATGGCTGCTGAGCTATCATTTTGTCTATTTTGATAGTCCAGGAAGTCATCACAATCTGGATGGGGCCTGGCACCAAGAAGAGAATTCTGCACTGCTTCTGTGATCTGATTGCTGCAGGCTACAGACTCTGGTCTGGGCTGCTGTCATGGAACTTAAGTTAAGTTACCAAAGCCTTAAGAGTTGGCACCGCTGCGCAAATCAAAACCTCCAAGACTGGGCCGAGAACTCAGACACTTGAGTGAGCGCAGCATTTGCCCAATGTTTTGCCAGGAGACTGGTACCAAGAAGACATCTTCGCCCACGCTCACATTGCCTCGGATAGGCGCCGATACCCTTTGATGCTGTTTCCAAACCATGCTGCTATCTCGATGAAGGAGTTACTCTTCAGAGCCAAGCTCACTCCATAATACCAACAGAATCGTAATGAGTTTCACGAACACAGCTCCTTAAAGTTGTTTTTATTCCTGGAACTCATTGCAGTAAACAAGCAAGCTGAGGACAACAAAAGTTCCCCTTGCCCTACGTGTCGGGTGCCTCTCTATGTAGATGGAGATTTTACGGGGACAATTGCGGCAATTGATGTTCAAGGATCCGTAAGCTAAGTGTCCCGGTGCGAGAACTAATTGGGCTTCAGGCACGTTGTCAACCGAAAGCATCAATGTTTTGGTACCTGGACATTTGTAGGGCTTCGAGCAAGACAAGTGCCAAAAATGCGCTGAACGTTGAATCTCTCCTGATGCATGGGCAACGCCGCCGGCGAGAGGCCCTTCGACCGTCAGTCGTGCACATCCCTCTAGAGAACGACTTTGAGCATTGACAAACATATCTGCGGCCAATGACGCGTGACAAGTGTTTGACTCAAACCCTGAACCTCACTTGCAGAATGTAGCATCTTGTTTACTTACTAGCGCATGGGCAGAGATTTCAGGGCAGGGATCGCGAGTTCACTGATCTAGCACCGCAGGCTCTTGGCCCCAAGAACGACAGAAAACGGGCCGTAGGTTTATCAAAGCCCCAAACGATCTTGCCTTTAAGTGGCCGAGAAATGATCGGTTGGTGCCAATACGGTCTTCGGCCATGTAGATGAGGTAGTCCACAACATCCTTGGGAGGCTCCAAAGCATCTTCAGCTGGGTTAAACCTGCGAATGCACATGAAAGAGTGTCTTTGACATGGGCGGGGTTGCAAGGTGAGTGTTGAAGCGCCAACCACAAAGACTTCTTGTATACCCCAAGCGTCAAAGACCACGAAATTGGCTTCAGCACTCCCCTACTGGCATCTTTAAGAAACCATGACAGCAAAATGCCTTCGTGGCGTGGTTTTGGGAATCTCGGAAGCCCAACGAGGCTTCCCTGAAACAAATTAAATTCTTGATTTTCAAATATTATAAAGGGACGTCGCTTCAAGGGGGGTCTCGACCCAGCATGTAGACAGACTTAGCGATGTGCAAGGGTTCCAGGCACTCCAAACCTATGCACGGCCTATGCAATGCCAAGAACACGAAGGATATCGAACAGAGTATGGCGTTTGAGTTGAGCTGGAAGCAGAGCATGTACTCCCCTACGACGAGTTGAGCAACCCTTGCCATGGGGAACTCTGTGCAAAAGTTTTGACTTTGATCCAAAGCCCCCAAGCCCTGAAGAACCTGGACTGAAACCAACCTGTTTCACGGCCCTTTTAAAGCTTTCTTCCTGAGCCCCGCTCTGAAGCATCAGGAGGTTCCAGCCAGGTGAGGTTACCACCCACCTGTGCAAAGATGTATTGTTCAGAATTACAGTAGGGAGTGAGATTACGGCCTAGGGTGCAAAGCACAGTGTAGTGAGTCCCATGGCCTCGAATACATACTGGATGCGGAGCCAGCTACATCTTGGGAATGACAATTCAGGACTTCAGCACAACATGTCAAGTGCCAAGCCCTAAACCCCCCCCCCCAAACGCAGAACCTTGAAGCAGTGGAATTCCTAAATGGACGCCCTCCCCTCCCCCATCTTCAACACAACCACTCTACCCTTCCCACTAGCAGGCCTTGAGCCCCTTCAACATATGGGATTTCTCAAAAAACAATGAAACTCTTGTTGGAGGATCCCCCATATAAGTGCAACATCTGGTGCGTTGCACAAGGCCGTAACCCTGTAACCCCTAGAAACCCTAAACGCTAATCCCCAGACTCCTA